GGGGGGGGGGGGGGAGGGCTCGCAGGAAATCAAGTGCATATTGTGCTCTCACATCGGGTCCGGAGACCCCAAGGGTCTGAAACACTCAAACACACAGCAACCTGCTGGGGAACTCAACCATAAAATTACACAAAGCCACTGAGGCTACAGAAATGACAATTCAAAGTAAACTTATTTAATTCACCTTAACTCATGAAGCAGAGTTTCACAAAAACCTAAAATACTGTAGTGACCCCCAAATGGCCTTTTCTTTAGTGCCTTGCCCCTCAGCTTCTCTGGCTGCCCACAGCTGCCCACCGCCTCTCGTTATGGGGAAAGCCAGGGGGACACTGTTCCTGGCCCTGGGTCCATACACGGAATCCAGGAGCTGCAGGACCTGCAGACACCAGGACATTTTCCAGGTCAGCACCACCCCTTGAGGTGACGGTGCTCTGTGGGGACAATGCACAGCCCAAAGACACCCAGAGCAGGGTGTCCTCACCACTGGCCCGTCCTTTTTCCAAGTCTCATCAACTGCACTTCCACCCATGTCGCCCCAGCACCCAGTGCCCACTCTTGGGCGTCCCCGGCCCGCCTGGTGCCCTGTCACAGAGCAGCCTGACTGCACTGCTCCCACACCCCCACTGCCCTGCAAGGGACGGGAGGAGGAGCAGCTCTTTCCACTGACCCCCTGGCCTACTCCTCTCCACTTGCACCACACCAGCCCCCGGCCCCCAGGATGGCTGCCCAGAAGGCCAGGTGACCCTGCTTCTCCCAAAGGGGCAGCTCACACTGGCCAGCAGGGCATCCTGCCTATGCGGCTCCCACAGCAGTGTCCACCCTTCCTCAGGTAGCTGGGTCATCACCACACCCAGCAGAGGTGCTGAATGACTTCTTCTAAGTTTTTACTGAGCGACCGATCTTTGAGATATTTAGACCTGCAAGACAGTTCTCAAAATTCACTTTTATAAAAGAAAAATGTCCATTTATAGTAAGACAAAATTTAAAAGCTACCTATATTGCATCTAAGCATTAAAATATTTACTGGGTGTGTAGCTGGATTGTAGAGTCCTTGCTTAGTATATGCAAGGCTATAGGTTTTGTCCTCAGCACCGCAAAAAAGTACTAGTAATTATTCTCTATTGTTTAAAGATTGATTCCACATTTTCTACCATTAAAAATACTCTGTAATGAGGGCCAGTGTAGCCTGCTGAGCACATGTCAGGCCTAAAACTCCTGACCAACCATGCAGCAGGATGGCTGAGCCAGTTTCAGGTGGGGGCTTTCCTTTTCCACAGCAGAAACCATGGTGTTAATGCCATCGTTACTTTGCACAGCTCGAAAACCTACAGACTCGCCTTGAAGTCTACATCACAGCACACGGCACTCCACTTGGGCGTAACTTCTGTGTCTCCTGGTGACAGCTGTGATACAGAGGCCACCACAGGGACAAAACAAGCAAGCTCCTGGGCCCTTAACCTCTTGCTCACCAAAAGCACGATTTATGTCCTCTTCTGGTGCAGACGGGGACTTAAAAATGGTCTTTGCTAAAAACCATGACTCTTTCCTTGGGCCTCCAGATGCCCAATGGAATCCAGAGCAGAACAAAGCCTGGTCCCCGGTTTGTGAGACCGGGTCAAATCCTCAGCTCTGCACAGACTCATCTGTCACCTAGAGTGCCTGTTACAGGTGGAGAGACCAGGACTGAGATGACGACCAGCGGACCCTGGACAGCCAGCCTCCTGCTGCTGCGGGTGCCCTTCTGACCCCACATGAGGGCCAGCCCCGCTCCTGCACTGCAGCCACACCTGTGTGCGGACTGTCTCTGGGACGGAACCTCAGGACCTCCACAGGCGCAGTGCTACACCTCCCTTTCCATCATCACTGAAGCAGGGTCACTGGGCCTGCAGCCCATGTACAGAGGCACTCACTGTTGGGGTGAAACATCTCGCAGGTGAAGCGCATCTTCGGAGGACTCAGTGGGTAATCCAGTGGGAAGCTCAGGATGGCAGGAAAAACACCAAACTCAAAACAGGTGTCTTCAGGACCCCTAGAAGACAAGGAGGAGGCGGGCAGGAGCTCAAGCACCCCCTGCACTGTCCATCACAATCCTGGGGATGGAGCACTTCTGTTCCTAAGCGCTTGTGGACAGGTGAAACAGCAATCAGACATGCTCCTCTGAAGAGCAAGTGTGTCTCTCTGCCATTCCAGCTGCTGTCAATCTCGGGCAGGTGCAGAGGCCGAGTGACATTCACAAAGGTGGCAGCAGCCACGCATGAGGGCCAAAGTGTGGATTAGGGCCACCACTCAGCTAGAATCCATGGTTCTTACACAGCAGGGTGAAGAGGTGCAGTGGAAGGCTATTTAACTTTTTTTTTTTTTGGTACCAGGGATCGAATTCGGGTCCTTGTGCTTGCGAAGCAGCAGCACCACTGAGTTAATCCCCAGCCTTATTTAACATTTTTGAAGTGTTGGGAGCAATTCTGCGTGATTTTGGGGAAAATCATTTCATAATTAAATCGTGATTAGGGCCTAGTTTCCTGTCTACTGGCCAGCTACGGCATGTCAAGACATAACTCCATCTTGGCTTACGGTCACAGCTAAAACCTCAATGGTCCCTTGATGCTGTGAGGCTCCAGGGCAGGGCTACATCAGCTGGAGACTTCCTGGGAGGAACCAAATCTTCACCTGCATAGTTCCTTGTTGTTCTAGGGTCATCACCGTGACCTCTGAGTCATTCGCTACTTCAGTTTCTACTGATGTTCTGAATAAAGGTGTGGCAAACTCAGGGTCTGGGGTCTTTGATGCCTAGAATAGCACTCATCAGGCCAAAGCATAGCTTCTTCTCTAAGTCTCATTTTCTATCTATATATTAATTAATTAATTAATTCACCTGGTGCTGTCGTGGCTCGCAGAAGACTAGGGCCTGGTGCAGAGGTTCTGGGAACATCCCTTTCCCCGTTCCCCACATTGAAGGGCTGGGAATTTAGCTCAGTGGCACTGCACCTGCCTCGAAATGCAAGATCCTGAGTTTGATCCCTGGCGGGGGTAGGAATGTGGTGGGGTTTTAAACATGCCTAAGAAGTGACTTTTGTAACCTTGTGTAAGAACAAGTGACACTCTGTGAGGCTGAGGCAGGAAGATTACAAATCTGATGCTGGGCGTGGTGGTACATGCCTGTAATCCCAGCACTCGGAGGCTGAGGCAGGATTGTTGTGAGTCTGAGACCAGCCTGGCCTATGTAGTGAGTTCTAGGTCAGTCTCAACTACATAGTGAGACCCTGTCTCAAGAAAAAAAAAAAGATTACAAGTCTGAGCCCAGCCTGGCCAACCTAGGGACTTAGTGAGACTGTGGTTCAAAATAAAAAAGGGCCAGGAATGCAGCTCAGTGTGAAGGCTCTGGCACAAAAAGAAAGGAAGAAAAGAAAAAGGGGGAGGGGAGGGGAGGGGAGGGGA